GTGTGTGTGTGTGTGTGTGTGTGTGTGTGTGTGTGATCATTGCGCCTCTCGAAGGCCACTGAAACTCTCCCATGATCTCTCTCTCTCTCACACACACACACTGTGAAGCAGGTTTCTTTTAATGTGACAGATCACAGAGGCTTCTAACAAAGATCAAAGTCCTTTAAAAATGCTTTATACTCTCAGTGAGTGTGTGAGTGCTGAATATTCCAGCAGCTCTTAGCGTCTGATGGACCTGCTGACACTCCGAGTGACCAAAGCTTTGCTCATAATGCTGCATAATTAAACGCTTTCAATAATTGATCATTTGGAGAATATAATGCATCCTTATTTCATCTTATTTATATCTGTTTACACTGGCTTTTTAACATCAAACATCAAAATAACTCTTTTTAAATTCATGTTCCTGGTCTTATTGTGACTGATTTGTCAGTGCATGTTATTCTAAAAAAATAAAGAAAGACATTTGCCTTAAAAATATAACACAACTTGCTTTGTCCAGGGTTATTAATGTTATCTAAAATTCATAATCAAAAATCATAATAATAAAAAAAAACATTACTTGAAATAAAATAAATATTAACTGAAATAAAATAAAAATATAAAAAAAATCTCAAACTTACATTAATTTAGCTAGTTGCCAAGGCAACATTTCTCATTTTTATTTAGTTTAAATTGAAGTACTAAAATAACTAAAACCAGATGAACTAAAACAAAAAAAAATAATAAATAAACAAATAAAACTTAAAAATAAAAATGGCAAACACACTACAAAAAATAAAATTAACTAAAACTTTATTAAGTAAAATTAAAATGAACATTGAAAATATAAAAATAAAATCTAATTCAAAATATTAACAAAAGCTATAATAGTATATCAATTATACTAAAATAACATCTCATAAATTTGACTTTTTTATGGCACAATTAACACTTGTCATTAATTGTGTCTGTTTAATTTAAATAGCTCACCGTATTTTTCTCCTCCGCAGTTTTCCACGTTTAATTCAGCTGGATCAAATATAATTCATTACAATTTTGTTTTATAGTTTAACCCTTGGGTCTGCATCTATTTAAGAAATTTAAATATTTAAATTAACATTCATATTAAAGATTTAGTGTGATTTGCATTAAAATATTCAGCTTTCAAAATCAGACTACTTCTGCCAACGGTGATGATGTCACTGTAATATTTGCATACTGGTTTGTGATTGGTCACTGTTGCCTTTGGCTGCTCATTTGGGGCTTAAAAGACAATTAATATTCAGAAAATATTACAGATTATATCAATTATCAGATAAGAAGAAGAACTGAACTGAATTGAGCTGGATAATAAAACTATTGTCTTCTGTAGAGCAGCTTTCCAGCTGAAATTTGACAATATTAACGCTGATATTTTCTTGTTCTTTTCCCCGTGAAGCTGCTTGAAACAGTCTGTGCTGTATAAATAGATGTGTGCTCTTTCTTGCATTCATTAAACAGTTATTTAATGTTAAATATGCATTTAATAGTCGTATTTACAGTCGTCATGCATGCTCTGTTTGACCTGAAAACCTGCATAAAGCATAAATGCAGAGGTTTATGTTGTGAAGGTGTTAATAGGTCTTGTTTGTTGCTGACAGGTGATCATCTATCAGGGAGGCCAGGTCTTCAGTTTAGCCAGTCACATGAACGGGCGCGTGGGCTTCGTCTCCACCATGCCCAGCACAAGTGCCTCGATCTTCATCAATAACACGCAGCTGTCGGACACGGGGACGTACCAGTGCCTGGTCAACAACCTGCCCGACCGCGGGGGGCGCAATATCGGCGTCATCGGCCTCACTGTGCTGGGTGAGTGATGAAGAACACAGATATTACTCTTCATATGTCATGACAGTGCATAGTATTCTGCACGCATGATTCTTCTTCAGTCTTACTGTATCCCACAATGCAATGCGGTTAACTTGACTTTCATTTTCCAGCGTGATGAATGAACCAGAGAGCAATATGAACAGCAGTTTTAATATCTCTTTCTTGACTTGTTTTATTATAATTTGATGGTAGCTTAAAACCATCATTTGATGGTTTTTACACAAAATTGGATTAAATAAGCTACATACAAACAGTGTTTATATACTGTTATAGATTTTATTCATGTATGGAATCAGCTTTTATTTTTATATTTTTAATTTTAGTTTAATGTTTTTTTTTCTAAATCTTACTATTTAGATTAAATTAATTTTTATTTCAGTTTTAGTATTATTTTATTATTTTTATATGATTAGTTTTATTTATATTTTGAATTAGCTTTTATTTTTATATTTTTCGTTTTTATTTAAAATAAATTGTATGTAATTTTGCAATGTGCTTGTCATTTTATTTGTTATTCTTTTAAATATTACTATTTAGGTTTCATTTGTTTTTAATTTTATTATTATAGTTTTTATTTATATTTTGAATTTGCTTTTATTTCATATTTTCAGTTTTTACTTTAATTTTAGATCTTTTGTGTAATTTTCAAATGTGTTTTTCTCATTTTATTCGTTTTTTTATGATATTAGTGTTTGTTTCATTTAGTTTTAGTGTTATTTTAGTTTTATTTATATGCTATTATAGTTTTTTATTTATATTTTGAAGTAGTTTTATTTTATATTTTCAGTTTTATTTCTGTTTAATCTTAGTAATTTTGTTATGAACTTGTCGGTTTACAATTAATTACTATTTAGATTTAATTTATTTATTTATTATTCCGTTTTAGTGTTAATTCAGTATTATTTATTTACTGTTATAGTCTTTATTTATATTTTGAATTAGTTTTTGTTTTATATTTTCAATTTTCATTTTAATTTCTAGTTTATTTCTTTATCATTTGTAATGTACTTGTCATTTATGTATTAACATTTTTTTTTATATTACTATTTTGGTTTAATTTATTTTAAATGCAGCTTTAGTTTTAGTTCAGCTGATCTGAAATCACATCCTGAGTACATTTAATAACTTGCTTTACAGCCTTTCAAAAGTGTGTTCGGAAACACTTTATTTTAAGGTGTCCTTGTTACACGTTACATATACTTACTATTATAATAACAATTAATTATGCATAATTACGTAATTAGTAACCCTAAGCCAAACCTTAATCCTAACCCTGACCATATAGTAAGTACATGTAGTTAATTAATATTACTCAGTACTTAAATGTATAATTACACTGTAACAAGGACACCTTAAAATAAAGTGTAACCGTGTGTTCTATATAGTATGCATGAATGCAATCTGAATGTAGTACATGATATCTGCCATGTTGGCATGGTCACGTGACCTTCAGACATAGACATTGTCTCGCAGGATCACACTTTTAGCATAGAATCTGGTACACAAGCTATTTTGAAGGTTATTTTGCCCGTTATGACAGCTGATGTGAAGCACACAGGTATATGATGCTGATCTTTATTCTCTCTCTGCGCCTGCAGTTCCTCCGTCCATCCCGTCCTGTCGTATTCAGGGGTCGCTGGATGTTGGTAACGACGTGATGCTGTTGTGTGGTTCGGACGAGGGCATCCCGACACCCACCTACGCCTGGGAGAAGCTGGAGTCGGTGCTCAAACTGCCCCACAATGCCATGCAAGGTACTAAACCCCTGCACGTGGGAATCCCGTTTTCCCCCACGTTCTCGGGTAAATGCGCAGCTCTCGACTCGTGCTGTGGCGTGACCTTTGCCCTTCCCGGTCCACCATGTGTGTGTCTGTGAGGTGACCTGACCTGCTCTCTCCAAACGCCACGCTTTAGAACACGGCTACAGAATCACCACTCTATTTACATTATACTTATGTTTGTGAAAGAAGTGTCTAATGCTCACCAAGGCTGCATTTATTTGATTAAAAATACAGTAAAAACAGTCAAATTGTGAAATATTATTACAATTTAAAATAACTGTTTTCTATGTGCATATATATTAAACTGTAATTTATTTCCATGATCAAAGCTGTATTTTCAGCATCATTACTCCAGTCTTCAGTGTCACATGATCTTCAGAAATCATTCTAATATGCTGATTTGCTGCTCAAGAAACATTTCTGATTATTATCAATGTTGAAAACAGTTGTGCTGCACAATATTTTTGTGGAAACTGTGATGTATTTTATTTTTCAGTATTCACAGATGAATAGAAAGTTCAAAAGAACAGAGTTTCTTTGAAATAGAAATCTTTTGTATTATTATAAATGACTTTACTGTCACTTTTGACCTCGATGAATAAGTATTAATTATTAATTTTTTTAAATCTTACTTACCCTAAACTTTTGAATGGTATTGTATCATGGTTTTCACAAAATATTATTATTATTATTATTATTATTATCATCATATTAGAATGATTTCTGAAGATCATGTGACACTGAAGACTGGAGTAATGATGCTGAAAATTCAGCTGCGCATCACAGAAATAAATTACATTTTAACAGATATAACATAGAAAACAGTTCTTTTAAATCATAAAAATATTTCACAATATTACTGTATTTTTGGGACATTTTGAAGTTGGAAACAAACAGCACAAAACTAACTCTTGAATTATTATTTCAGAATGTCTGTGGACAGTAACGGCACAGTAGGCTTATTCTAAAGACACTGTTATATTTTTATGCTTAATAAATCAATCTGCTTTGGCCTCAAAAAGCTTTCACATTTTTACATTCTCAAACTGTAACAGAGATTTAGCCGTGGTGCAAAACTAGGATCGTACTGCCATCTAGAGGCCATTCGATTTACTGCAAAATCACTCTGTACAGTTCTAGAACAATATGATCTACAAAATGATTTGTCTTGTTTAAATGGCATTTATTTCATTATGTTTTAAATATGGAGTCTGTGTTATGTTATTGAGTGTGATTTCATCCACAATCCTACAAAGTACAGTAGTCTTATATATTAATATATATTTTTTATTAAGCCAAGAACATGTCAGATCTTGTAAACACAAGAGCACAATCTGATCAATATGCCTTTTTTTTTTTTCAGTTTATTTAGTGTTCTCATTGTCATCTGTTAATGTTTTCACGTCAGGAAACTTTCTTGCATTGTCAATTTATTGATACCTGTTATATTATCACTGTCACTCAGATGTTTAATAGCTGTTGTTTTGTGTTGCTCAGATCAGATGCAGGGTACGGTCACGCTGAGGAACATCAGCACCAGCACATCTGGACTGTATCAGTGTATGGCTTCAAACGCCATCGGAAAGAGCACCTGCGTCCTCAACCTGCAAGTCGTGGCACGTAAGTCTGATTTTTTTCACAAATTCTGTTTTATTATTTTCCCAGATTCCATTTTTCCCTTTTAAGTTTTCCAAAATTCCGTTTTCCATTTACATTTTTCTGGATTCTGTTTTAATGGTTTAATTGCATTTTAATAATCAAAAAGCATATCTAATCAATTGAATTCATGCAAATTTAGCAATTTAATACTTTATTACAATTTTTACCATTGCCCTATAATTGTAAAAATTGTAATACTTTTAAACTATTACATTTTTTAAATTTGTATGGAATATTTAATTTTTCAGAAATTTTGTTTTCTGTTTATTTACATTTTATTACTCCGTTTTTATTTAATTTGATTTATTTTCATCTATATATATATATATATATATATATATATATATATATAAATTTTATGATATAATACAAATTTATTATTAAAAATGATAGTAATCAAATGAAGGCATAAAACGTAATCAATTGAAAATGTAACAATTACTTTTATTTTTTGCCAAACAAACAACAAGCTTCATAACAGCTTTACTGTTCAAATTAAAGCATGGAAGAAAATTGTGATATTCCTTTAAAAATTAACCTTTAATTTTATTATTATTATCACTACTACTTTGAGAAGTATATTCTACTGTACAATACTGATATATTTCTGTCACAGTGTCTTTAAGTTAAACTGAACCTTTATTATGAGGTTGTACTGAAGACCTGTATTTGATAATAATCTTTTGTGTTTTAATGTTCACGTACAGCAGTCATCAAAAAACATGGCTAATTAACTAAAATCGTGAAACTTACAATTTAAAAACAATTTATTAAAAGTTTCACTAAACATACATTTTTAGGGCCCTGGTATTTGTTTTTATTTTTTCCCAAAATTCTGTTTTGTTTTTCTTTTTGCCAAATTCTGACATTCCACATTATACAGTAAATATGACCGGATTCTGCGATACAGTGATGTTAGGAGATCACACAGCAATCATCAGGTTGAAATGTGTAGTTTTGCACAATCCTAGTGTCATTAAATCACACACACCGACCTCACAGCCGTCTGTCTGTCTCTGATGTGTGACAGCGCAGCCTCAGAGCGTCGGTCTGATCGCAGGAACCATCGCCACTGCTATTCTGGCGCTCCTCATCTGCTCTTTACTGGTGCTCGTCACGCTCTTCTACTGGAGAAACAAGAACAAATACGAGGAGGAGGAGATTCCCAACGAGATCAGGTGACCCTTCAGCAACAATCCGATGAAGCTTGTCTGTGTCCTGATTTATATCAATATAAAGTTCATTTGAAACTACTAAAACGTGAAACATCATTTAAATATGCAGAGAACAAGCTATTTCTTGCTCTTTTAATAATAAGATAATAATAAGAGTTTGATGTGACGTACTGTAACAGTAACTAAAAACACCTCCACAGTCACCTAGCATAATATAATATTAATATAATATTATTTATTAATGTTTTGAACTAGCGTTTATTTGTATATTTTCTGTTTTAATTTTATTTATTTATTTATTTTAATGTTTTTTTATTATTTCTATTTAGCTTTAATTAATTATTTTATTTTATTTCAGTTTTAGTTTGAGTAATTTTGGTGCTTCAAATTAAACTTATTTTATTTCAGTTAGTTGCCAAAGCATCATTTTTAGTTTAAGTTTTTCATCTAATGTTTGTATTTTATTTCAGCTTTATTTCGATTAGCAAAAGGGATTTTTAATAGTTTTAGTTAACGATAACAATACTGTCAGCCAGAACATTTACTGAACGATTCACTGAGGAATCATTCATTGACTGAGTGACTCAAAAGAATCGCTCTATGGAAGGTTATAAAAACGTTGTGGGAACATTGTTTTGAAATGATTCTAAAACATTGAAATGCCCAGTTTTCTTGTGATGGTTATAACGTTATTTAAAGGTGACTAAAATGTTTTTTAAACATTCTACTAATTTTATTTTTACCCAAAATATAATGTTATTTGAATGTTTATTTTTAATATTCTAAGAACGTTAAACAAGTTTCTTGTTGTGATTAGAATGTTATGTGAAGGTTGCAAAAACCTTTTTAGAATGTTCGTCAAGTACAAATAACATCATACGAACATTCCAAGAATGTTGATCTCAGAACGTTTTCCCTCAGCGTTATAAGAAAATTCATAAAGTAAAAATAATATCATGAGAACATTCAGAAAGTAATGTTCTAAGAATGTTTCCTCTCAACGTTATGAGAACGAATATCAAATATTAATAAAGTTATAAGAACATTCCATAAACATTAATTTAAAATTTACAGTGTGGTGATTAATTAATCTGATTAATCGCATATTAATCACACATCAAATTTGGCTTAGAAATTGCCCACAAAAGATAATTTAATGCCGTTATTGTGTTACATGAGAAAAGCCTGAAATAGACATATTACATTACAAGTATCTTTAGAAAGAATTCTTATTTTTTTCTGTTTTTTATTAATTTTTGGATGAACTATCCCTTTAATTAGTTTTTTACTAATATGGATTTTTTTTTTATAAACATGTAAATATGAAATTATTTTAAATGAAATGATACTCTAAATAAAAAACTAAAACTGCCAGTAGGAGTCATTCATTCATTCGAATCGTTCAAACAGCTGATTCATTCAGGAATAAAGTAAATGGCTCTCTTTTTGAATGGGCCATTTAATCATTGGTTCACCCGATTTTGTTCAAAACGCGGATTCATTCAGAAATTGTGATGCTTAGAGACGCACAACAGTTCTGCTGTGGCTTTAATAGGTAATATTTGCGTCGGCTAAACTGAGCAAAAACAGACAATATTGTGTTTAAAATATAACTGTTGTATAAAATCACATTTGCACTCGTGCTATTCAGGACACAAACAGTTCTACAATATTGCTCGTGTGATATCGATTATCATATGATATAAATATGAGGCAAACTCATATTGCGACATTTTTTAGCCCAATATCTTACATTTTAGGAGCACATAACTGCATTTATGGATTACATATTTGTTGCCCTGCATCATGTTTGTCATCAGTCAACTGTATGAAATGTAAGATGATGTACAGGTCTGGGGCGGGTGCGTTAACGGTGTTAAAATATTTTAATCGCGTTATTTTTTCATAACTAAATTAAATTTACATTTTAACCTGACAGCCCTAGTCTTAAAGGGTTAGTTCACCCAAAAATGAAAATTCTGTCATTAATTACCCCCCCTCATGTCGTTCCACACCCCTAAGACCTTCGTTCATCTTCAGAACACGAATTAAGATATTTTTTAGGGATGCACGATATATCGGCCACCATATCGGTATCGGCCGATAAATGCTCATTTTTTCTGTTATCGGTATCGGCCCGATAAGAAAATTTGGCCGATATCTTAAAGCCGATAAATAATGCATTATTTCCTTCAGAGACACTTCAGATGCGCGCTGTTCGTTTGCAGCCTTTTGTGCAATTGTACGTTGTATTATTGTGTTTATTTGATGTATATCTGATTTATCTCATATAGAATGCGTTTGGTTAAGTTAAAAGAGCGCTTCAGTTTACCGGTGATCATCTTTAGCTCAGCGCACGCAGCTCAAACAGCAGTGCACAACATTAATAACTATGATTGGGAATGTCGTGTATATAACATTCTAATGAGAACATTATTATAATAAAACGTTGTGAATTCTTTGGGTTTAGTTCAAATCATTTAATTATTGTCCGTGCAGAGGCTATTCCATTTTATTGATCTATGGCGCATTCATTTTGATTCTTTACACGTGTAATGATGTCCAGTGACTTGTTTGCATTATTTATGCATTATTTTATTTATTTGTAAGACTTTATGACTAAATTTGGTAATGGGAGAGTAAAATAATTTTTAAAACGTACACCGTTCAAACTAGGCTGCTTATGTTGAAGTGTTTGGGATGTGGGTTTTAATGATGAGACCTTCTTTGTAATCAGGCTCTCAAAAAGTATATAAAAATGTGGATATAGATTTATCGGCCAACATATCGGTTATCGGCTTTCAAAAATAAAGAATTATCGGTTATCGGTAACGGCCAAAATGTTCATATCGGTGCATCCCTAATATTTTTGATCAAATCCGATGGCTCAGAGAGGCCTCCATTGACAGCAACGCCACCCAAACTTTCAAGATCCATAAAAGTACTATGGATCTGATAATAAAAGTCATTATCCTTATACGGTTAACGCAGTAAGCACAGTGAAGGCTTCCATGTTCTACGTCAGAACGCCGGCTCATTATTGGCCAAAGCTGCACATGTGAGCAGCGCGATGCATGCGTGTGATGCTAATGCAGGAGCCGTCCAATAATGAGCCGGCTTTCTGACGTATAACACGGAAGCGCTGGACGTAAACAACGTATGAGAATGACACAGAAGAGACGAGGTTGTTGAATAAAGTCGTTATTTTTGCTTTGTTTTTGCGCACAAAAAGTATTCTCGTCACTTCATAAAATTATTGTAGAACCACTGTAGTCACGTCGACTGTTTTAGTACCTTTATGGATCTTGAAATGTTTGGGTGGCGTTGCTGTCAATGGAGGCCTCTCTGAGCCATCAGATTTGATAAAAAAATATCTTAATTTGTGTTCTGAAGATGAACGAAGGTCTTAGGGGTGTGGAACGACATGAGGGTGAGTAATTAATGACAGAATTTTCATTTTTGGGTGAACTGACTCTTAAACGTTTATATAACTTTCGAAAAACGTTGTGAATGTTGTAAGAACGTTCCCTGTTAGCTTTCATTTTAGAGAAATATTTTACAGCATACTTAATGCGTAATATTCCAGGAAATTTCCCATGACCCTCATTTTGAAAAGTTTGTAAATATAATATCTAATGCTTTGCTGAATTGATTCCTATCCCACCTCACACAGGGAGGACGATCTCCCTCCGAAGAGATCCTCATCGGTCAAAGCGTTCCAAGCGGACGCCTCGTCTTCCGAGAACGACACGCTGACGTCCACCAACACCTACAACAGCCGCTACTGGCACAACCCCAAACCCAACTACGACACCAACTCCTACACGCACTACAACGGTGACACGCGGCAGACCTTCACTGGTGGCTCTAATGCGGCGGGAAATGCGCCCTCGCGGCCCGCCTACACCAACGGGAGCCACACCCTGCCGCCACCCAAGACTCTGGTGGTCACCACAAACTCCGCCCCCTCGCCGCCCGTCATGGCCCGCAGTAACGGCTCACTGAGCCTCCGCCCACCCGTCACCACGACGCCGGCCGTGACGCACGGACAACAACACACGCACTCGTTCGCCGTGAGCCAAGCCATGTTAGAGCGCATGGGCGCTGTACCCGTCATGGTGCCGGCGCAGAGCAGAGCCGGTTCGCTCGTCTGATGTGACGGACGAAATCAAAACTCTTTTGTAACCGAGTTCAGCTGATGCCAACTAAAACTGCTCCGTTAACGTCTCACGCGCCCTTGTTTTTTATATTGCCTGTTTGCTTGTTAGTTTGTTCATTTTTTAAGTCGTGATGATAAACTGGCTTCGCTGCAGGCAGATAAAAGGGCCCCAAAATCACGTATTTCTCGACCCCATCACTTCTTCCAGAGAAAATGATTGAATGTGCATGATGCTTTGTTTGATTCGAATACGGCTTTTATTACTGCTTTTTAACACTGGAATCAAAGAGGAATAATATGCGATTTGAAGCGGATGTTCTCCAGTCAGTTCCGGCCGCAGCGTTTGGCGGTGAAGTGACTGTGGCCTTCAATTTCAGATGAGAGGTTTGACTGCTGAGCTTAGTTTCGTTTGAAAGAAGAGTCTTACATTTATCTGTCTTAACAATCCTAATTCAGCACTACTGACTAGAGCCGTAGTCTACCTCTAAAACACTACAGATAGAGTCTAATCCATAGTGTAGGTCTCATCATGGAGTATTACAGGAAATCCACTTCAATCGGGTGCTGCTTTCAAACAGGTAGATGCATATATTGTTCTCTATGTTATATGAAGGATTACTGAGAAACGTTTGAGATATTAACACATTCACTGTTCATTTTGTTAATTTGTTGCTTTGTTTGGTTGTTTTTTTAAATACTGTAAATATTGTAACTACTTGTAGAATAGAATGTGAATTAAAACATTCTTTTGCCCAAATCTCACTTGTGTTTTTTCTATATATATATATATATATATATATATATATATATATATATAAGAGGGGGACCGAGTG